CATGTTTGTTTTTATTATCAGAGGACGCTTACGCACGTAATTATTCTATATTTCGAATTCGCAATTCCTAATATGGTAGGATGAAAATACCCTGTAAAATACCCCAAAATTATGGAACTCTGTAACTTATGGCCTTATGCTGACAGATGTATAAGAATATATGTTATGTAATATAGAGTGGGTATAATAATTGTTATGCACATTTGTATATTGAACTATACAATGTGGATAGTCCCAATTATATATTGAATGGTTAGAATAATTTGTTGTTGTTAGTAGTTAGTGCTCTTTTCCCAAATCAGAGAAGAAAGAGGTCTAACTAAATATTGCTGTAGTCTGAACACACAACCAGTACATAATCATGTATTACAAAGTATCGATATACCAAAAATAAAATACTAATGTTATAAATAATACAAAATTGATAAATATTTGTCAAAATAATAAAAGTGATGAAAACAAAATACAACCATTCAAAATAATTAAACATACTTTGGAATAGAAAAATACCTAAATGAAATAAAAGACTACAACATGAGAAGAATTTTAGAATAAATAATTATAATTTAAAAACCAATTAGGTAGAAAAAAGATTAAACAACTTTATAAATATGCAATTGCAGCATTGTGCTGGGAAAATATATAAAAAATACAGTATATAAAACTTAATAAATTAGAAAAAGGCTGTCACAACTAAAATGTTCATGATATATAGACAATATTTTGTTAATACATGATCTTAGGAAAATGTTTATTATATTGCTGTAATTATACTATTCATTTAGTTGTCTGTATTTATCTTGGTAACCTGTTTATGTTTGCCATACAGTACCCTCAGATGGTACTTGTAGAATAATAAAGTTATTATTGTCTTTTATTATTATATTTATCTAATAGTAAATATACCCAATGGTGGGTTTCTGTATTATTATCCCCTTGCTATATAGTACTATACAAATTGAATTTTGGCACTGTGATCAATATTTTATCAATTCAATTTGAAAGGGGTTTAAAGTGAAACCCAAGGTTTGTGGTAGGTCCTTAGTTCATTTCATACTGGGGGTGTCTCTGACTGATAATAGGGAGAATGTCTTCCACTGAGATCCTTTCCCTAATGAATGTGTTTTAGGGAAAATTTTCTTTATTATGTTTGTTATCCTACATTTGACTTTTGATGTTGGTCCCGAGTAGTCATAATAATAAAACGGTTAGAACTTCTTCTTAAAATTATAGTTTAAAGTTTTTTCTCAAAATGAATTACGGTACTCATTGTACACCCACCCCTCTTCTTCTATTTTGTGTTTTCATCAGCCATCATATAAAATATCAATTGTCAACTCAAGTGTTTCTTTGAATCCTTGAAAAAGAGGATATATATATATATATATATATATATACACACAAGATAAAATGAAAAGCACATTGCTCCCAAATTCAAGCTGTTTGTATATATTGTTGTTGTATTGGAGACAGATAAATGTTATAAAAAAAATAAAGTACTTAAACATATTTACAATACATTGAGTTTACAAACAACCTGCTACATGGTATTCAGTTGGTAGGTAAACTTTTTTTTTAAATATGCAAATTAGGTCTTTTGACCTTGTGTTCATTTATAGGTCGCCATTGTCATTGTCACGGTTGGCGGTAGTTTGTGGTGAACCATTGTAAGATATTTTCTTGTAGTTTAGCTAAATATTTTCGTTAATTCCACAGGTTTTACACGGTTGGATTAGGTTTGAGGGAGCGCCCGAATGGATCCGAATGCGGTCACGATCCGAACGTGACGTCATCTTCGGATTAAAAAAATAGAAAAGGCAACAAGGAGTAAAGAAATGGCGACCCTTGATAACAGCCCATCGCTGTTTTTAGGACAGCCATGGACGGCATGGGCCGACAGATTGCCAATCCAGGATAGAGAAGGTAAAGTGTGATTATTAATCTTTCTTTTGACCGGTCAATTTTCAATTTCGAGTGTCAACATGAGCGGTGTGATGATATGTTTTGATCGATGTGTTTTACTATCATTTCAGCTGTAGATGGCGCCGAGCAGAGTGTCAGTGAGGAGGTGGATCCACGAGCAGGACCTATGCGTTTACGTAAAGAAGGTATCCTTTATTATGATCATATTGCTAGCTCACACGATATGATATGGGAGTATATGTGCACGACATTTCCTCGTCAATAACAGCTCTGGATTCACAATCAGTGCGTCGGAATCGGAATGTACGAGATCGAAGCACATGTGTTGATGTGTACATGCATTAGATGCAACCTGTATTCAACTTTCATCGTACACGTACGGAGGCACGTTATTACCTGTCAAAAGAGTTCCGGTATACAACATACGATTAACAGGTTATCAAACCCACGATTCCGTTAATGTAGTTTTAAAAATGTATGCATGCACGTCTAATACAATGTTAAGCTATCTCTTGACGGAGCAAGAACAATGTTGACACGGAAACCGGCTTCGTAGATATTGTTGTTTGGCAGGACTGTCATGATTATCGCCGTCTACAGGTATGCGATCACACGTTAATAACAGCAAAGAGTTCGATTTGATGATGGGGAAATTGTTATGGGTAGATTTGAGAAAATTGTGTATGACAATTCATTTCCTAATACTCAATGTTTTGGATAATATGTATTTATGAGACTGACAAGTAAACATTTGTTCTATAAATTATTTGTACCTTTAAATAAGAACATTATAAATTGCTCATTATTATAACTGTTAAATAATAATGTTCTGATTTCCACATTTTTAATACATAATATATATTGTGCTGAATATTTCCTCAACAATTCCGACGTAGACATGAGCTGTTTTGGTATATGCCCATCCAAAGATGATTTCTACTTGGCTGTGTGTGAGCACTGTGGACAAGTGATAAAACCACAAGCATTAGAGAATCATATGGGTGAGTAGTTATTTTTTTTGTATGTTTAACTAGAAAGTAATATCCCATCGGAAAAGTGTGGTACCTTTAATTTATATCTTCCCTCAAAACAAGTTCCACCGTTGCACTGGAGCGGAACTGTCTCCAGGATGGCAGTTGCATTTTATTTTCAGTGAATCAAGAATCACAGTTGTTGTTTAATAAGACATATGACTGCCTGTCCATTGTGAAATATTTTATCATTTCTTAACTGCAATGAAATGAAATAATCACATACTTATGATGACAATTATAGACTTTGTATCAATGTAACTATTCACAATTATTGACAACTATATATAGCACTTTGATGTGTTACTTTGTAAAGTGTTGCATTTTTCAACATGGACATGACAGGATACCTTGCTGATTGACTTCCATAGCAATTCAGGATCAGTGTAAGTGAATTCATAGGTACTTCAATGACCAGTACAGTTCAGTGAAAAAGTTGCAATATTTTTATGATAATTTCTGTATATTTACATCTTTATTCCATGAATCATGCATCTTCAATGTTATACAGCCTATTGGATATATGTGGTATCCCACCACCAATAATCAGTGGTTGTTGATGATCTGATTGGTCAAAACTGTGACGTCATCTGTAAAGTTGCTAAAACATAGCTCATTACAGTGATTTCAGAAAAGCTGTTTAAAAAATGTAAACAATTATAAATTTGAAAACTGCCTTTCACTAATCAGAACGAGTGTATCATCACTGCAAATGAATACATGACACTGAAGGAAATAGCCCAGTCATAGGCCTATCGACCAGAATCTGATTGTCGCTGCTATACATGGTGGAACACTGCATGAGTTATTACTGCCAATCCAACATTCAATAAATGTGTCATAAACAACTTTTTTTGAAACAGTTCTTCTTAAACCACTATACTTGCAAAGTGACTAAAAACCCAACCAATGTATCTCTGAAACTGTAAATATATCTCTTTCCAGAAAATCTTTACTGATGATGTTAAATTGTGGTAAACTGTATCAGGGATTGCGTTAACCCCATATTTTGCTTCCCGGGTCTATTTATTGAAGAGGGACCCAGTTTTTCAGGCAAGCTGGGGTTCAATCTCTAATAAAAGTATCCGGATCAAATTTCAATTTCTTAAAATTTTGTTAAGTGGGACTCATCTTGCCGAGACAATAGCGCAAACCCTGCTGAATTCAAGGAACACAGTTAGTGTATGCTAATGAGACACAAATGTTGATATGAATCCTTTAATATTGGCACAGAGTTTAAGATGCCAATGTATTTATGGGGACAAAAACGAATACACAGGATGTATAAAAGATCTCTAATTCTTGACCGTGTGTGTGTAGCATTTATTAATACCTGTAGTAATGTTCATACATACCTTGCCATAGGCTCGAAAAAATGATTTAATTAATCCGATATCACCTGGTTCTCATTGGAGATCACTGTATATTAGATACACTTCATTTCATGGAGACTTGGTAGACTTGCCAATTCCCTATTACCTACTTTGAATCGCTTTCATTTTGTGGAAAATTGTTTTGTGAATTTCATAAGTCTGGGAAAATCACAAATTTTAACAATTCATTGGGTTTCTGTAGCAGTGGTCAATGTTTCTTATTAGGCCTGCATACAATGTATACAGCTTTAATTTACATGTTCTTTTATTTGAAATGCGCTTCTACATAACAAATATGGTAATTAGTGTGAATTATATTCATCAAATTAGCTTCTGTTATTGCTTTTGTTATTATGGAACCTTTATTTTGCTATATATGTAGTGAGTTTGTCCAGCATGTGATTTCAGTGTTTGACACCTAATAAAGTATTTCTGTACATTTGGTTAGTTTAAGTATTAAATGACATTTCAAAATTTCAAGAATATAATCTTTAAAACCCTCTGTAAGCTCAAATATAAGTACATTTTCCATAGTGTTATTTTTACCACGGGGAGCTATTATTGTCTCAGTAAGAAACCTTTGCTTACCATAATACCTTACCCATAGGTACTTGGTACTCAAAACTAGATCAGGTCAGCTAGTGTTTGTCATAGCAGTAACCAGAATTTGCGGATCTAATTTAACAGACATTACTGAAGTCAGTGTTAAGATCAGAGGTTAACATTACATCAGTTCCTTTCTATGATCAGCGTTAGAGATCACTGTGTTATTTTGTGTTCAAATTTGACGACATCGTTACTACATATATATGACTTTACAATTTCAAGATTTATCTGTTCAATTCTTCTTTATTTATAGTGTTATAGTTCATCCAGCACTTGCACATTAAAGTAGTTACAGACAACCTTATTTTAAATGCAAGCTGAAAGATTATATCTTTTTATGTAAATTGATCCAGATCATAATCCTGTGTAATTTCCCGTGTGAGTATCATGGCAACAATCCCGCCAATCATATGAGGTGTTTAGTGATATAACAAAGTTTATCTCATCATATTTCTTTAGATAAATGTATTTGGTGTTGTCGATATGTGATTCAGTGAATGAAAACTAACATTTTGACACTCCTAATTGTGGAATATTCAAATGGATGATTTGTTTAATTTGTATTCTTTATCTTGGTACATTGTATGAGTAGAACTCTCTATTACGACTGGAATTGAGTCTTTACTCATATACATTAGTACTGTAAAATCTGTATTAAAAGCAGCGGCTTCTATTAAAATGGTACAACGCAACAGAGGGGATGCTGCTTCTGTTAGAGCCATCTACACATACGAGAAATGGTGAATTTTAAATTCTCAATTATTCAAAATAAATGGGTGCGACTTCTAATAGGGATGCGGCTTCTAATACAAATTTTACAGTACTGTCATTAGTCTTTGATTGTTTGAGTGTTTCATCATATTTTCGGGTTAGGGTAATTCATGAATCACGTATCCCTATGTGTAATGTTGGGACAACTGTTACATTGTGGTCAGCAATGTTGAACTTATGCGTTACAAGTTGTATGATGCATGTCATAGAATAGAATGATTGTCTTTTCTATATAGGCACAGCCATACTAGTTAAATTGAAAATGATGTTTGTGTATCCCTTACAGAATAATTTTAGTTTTCATATGGTTGTGATGGACACTTATTTGCAAGTTAAACGATTATTGTGCTTACTGTTTATAACTTAGGTATCAATCCAGTTGCTTAGTAGCAAACGATCACGGTAATGTAAAGTGGTTGTGATTATAATAACATACATAAAAAAAATAATTTATTAGTTTGTCATGAAATGCAAGTAAAATTCAACTTAGTTTCAGCGCAAGCGAATGTTTTTTTCAGCCGCAGATAAACATTCAATGCGAAACAATATCTGCCATGATATTTCTAAGAATGATAGGTCAAGTCAGTTATTACTCAATCAAACGGATTGTGCCAGCCAGATGTATTCTGGATATCACAGATGGCTACCCAACACATAAGTGATTTATCGAAGTTGTTAACAATCTTTTAGCATTGAATTTGGTGGAAAAACAGTTATTGTCAAGTTTAACCATTCATGCTGATCACAATAAAACTTTGTATTCTTGAACAGGCATCAGCGACAATAAATAACCTAAATTGTACTCTAATTTAGGCATCAGGAAATATTGAAATGTTCCAAAAATGACACCTAAATTAGAATATTCACTGTACATTTATATTTCCATATCTTGCCATGTGGACAAGCATATTGTCAATAGTCTAATGGAAGCTTCAATTTATACTGTTGTAAATGCTTACTATGGGTAAACTATGAGTTTCATGAGCTTCTGGCACAAGCTATGCTTGCAAACAATGCTCTATTCTGAGATATGATATCAATAAATGGTTGATCAGTTGTCTGTAACTGATTTCATTGAATATACTTGGTTGTGTCAGGAATTTCCTTATATTTTGATTGTAATTCATAATTTTTTTTTGTCAGTCATGGTCACATGTCGTGTAAATCTTGATTACATCTGTCAGTTTTTACCTTGCCGTACCATCAAAGATGGAAGGGAAAGGTATATTAAGGGAAAGATTTTGTCCGGCGTTGTCGTTGTCGTCGTCGTCGTTAATAATTGTTATTGTGTGCATAATAACTTTACTAATTCTATTCCAAACTTCATCAAACTTGGTCACCATATTCATCAGTATAAAGTCTTCCTTGAGTTTGAACAACAGATGTCCTGTATGAAAATATCATGCAAAAATTGAGAAAATCTGATAAAATATTTTTACTCTTTCTACTTGACTGATCACTGGTGATACACATCAAAGGTCACTGATCTCAGTGGAAATATGCATTGTTGTATGTGTTCAATGAAGCAAATCATTTATCTTGTAATAATATCCTTGGTAATGTATCTCCCAAATCCCATGGGAATACTATACTGGGTTTCAAAACCAACTCATCTAGAGATTTTTTGCACAGTCTGATACACATTTGCAAACCTACCAATAACATATTTACAGAAAACAAGATGTTAGAAAATCAATATAAACACTCCTATGATCTGGGTGCCAAACTTTGATCAAGATCTGAACATACAGAAAATCTGTTTAATTCAAAGCTATCAACAATACATAAAAAATACATAAAAAGCAAAACGTTGCATCTTCTCCTTGACCGGCCGAGGGTTCCCGTCAACACTGGCACATTTCCGGGGTTAGCCGGCGCTCATTGTTCATGATTATAATCTTATTGTTCAAATGTTCTCACCTTTCTAAAGACAGAAAACGACAGACTTTTTACAAGTCCCTGAAAAGGAGTACCACTTTTATCAATGAGTTACTACATTTGTTGCGATGTTTTCACTGTCTAGCGCGTCTGCATATTTAATATATTCACGCAAATTGACCCATGTCTGACCTCTAGTCTAGGCAAGATATGTGTTGGGCAACGTTCTGCAGAACTTCCTAGTGCTGAGTTTAAGTTCCACGATTGAAAAAAAATAAAATAACATACAGCTCCATTCTATATCAGGCCATGGAGGTCTATGATCAGGTCATTGTTGTTAAT